AAGGAAGGTTGGGCAATCTACTTCCATAGTGATACTGCCTTGGAACCCCAAGGAGGGTTCGCTATGAGTCGGGTCTGACTCGACGGCACATAACAACAAAAACAACAACATTGAAGAAGAACAAAGTAGGAGGTCTCACACTCCTGAATCCCAAAACCTACCATACAGCCACAATGGTCAAAACATCCTGGTACTTGTACAACAACAGACACATAGACCAGTGGAACAGAATTGAGAACTGAGAAATAGATCTATCAATCTATGGTCAGCTGATTTTTGACAAAGAGTTGAAACCCATTACATGGTGAAGAGATTGTCTCTTTAACAAATGGTGCTGGCAAGACTGGATATCCATTTGCAAAAAAAAAAAAAAAAGAAACAAGATCCATGTCTCACACCATACACAAAAACTAACTCCAGATGGATCGAAAACTTAAATGTGAAACCTAAAACTATAAAGTTTCTCAAGGAAAAAATTAAGGCAAATTTAGGGGCCTTCATTTATGGCATAAATAGACTGTCAAGCATAATCCAAAATGCACACAAACAACAAAAGATAAACTAGATGAATGGGACTTTCTAAAAACTGAATTTTTATATGCTTCAAAAAACTTCTCCAAAAGAGTAAAAAGAGAACCTACCGATTGGAAAAAAATATTCAGCAAAGACATATCTGACAAGGGACTTACTCTAAAATTTGTAGAAAATTCTAACACCTCAACACCAAAAAGACAAACAACCCAATTTAAAAATGGGCAGAAGAGATGAACAGACACTTCACCAAAGAGGATATTCAGGCGGCCAACAAACCCATGAAGAAATGTTCACAATTATTAGCCATCAAACCAAAAAAACCAAACTCACTGGCCTTGAGTTGGATCCGACTCATAGTGACCCCTCCTTGGGTTTCTGAGGCAGTATCACTATGGAAGTAGATTGCCCCATCTTCCTTCCAACAAGTGGCTGGTGGGTTTGAACTGCCAGCCTTCTGGTTAGCAGTCAAATGCCGTAGGCACTACGCCATCAGAGCTCCCTGGAGAACATTATGCTGAGTGAAGTAAGCCAAATATTATATTAGTCTGCTATTGTGAAAGTCAAGGAAAGGTTTATATATGGAAGGAAATTTTCTTTGTTGGCTACCGGCAGTGGGAGGGTAGGGTAGGGGACACTGCTAGACAGGTAGAGACAAGTATTGATTTGGGTGAAGAGAAGGGCAATGCACCAAATGTGAGTGATCAACATGATGGTATTGAGGGAGAGGAAGACAGAGAGAGGTACATGGGAGGTGCAGACAACAAAGATGAACCCTTCTGCACACACAGTACTGCGTCGTCAGTGAAGGGAAACATTGATGTACAGGTGGATAGATGGGTGGACAGGCTGTATGAGCAGGCAGGGGGAGTGTGCCCATGAGCATGTATAGGGTTGGCAGATGATGTTTCTACAAGTGTATTTGTATGTTCTGTAAGAATGTCCAGGTATATAGTACAGCTGACAAGGGACAAGGTTGCAGTGACTTCTTGGCCACAGCCAGCTACCCGGAGGGAGCGAGTAGTTGGACCTGTGGGCTCAGGACCATGGCCCCAGGGCACATCAAGCTCAATTGTCATTGCTGGTCCGATAGAGCCTGGTGAGACCCCTGAGACTATGGCCCCTAGCTGCCCTTCAGGTCTGGAATTGAACCCATTCCTGTGGCTTCCAGCCAAACAAAAGATAGGCTGAACATTTACATCAGGTAGATACACTCCTTGGAGTGATCAATCATGGGAGATCAGAAGGGCAGTGTTTGCACAGGGAGACAGCTCAGGGGGCAGGAGCGCAGGGGAGGGAAGGACACAGGGAAGAGGTGATTACAGGGAGGAAGTGGGAAGAGAGCTGTTGCACTGTGGGAAATTGCAGTCAACGTCATGAAACAAAGTGTGTATAAACTGCAGTATGGAAAGTGAATTTGCTCTGTAAACTTTCACCAAAATCACAATAAACATTTTAAAAATAATAATTGTTTTATTCTTGTTAACTGAACACCAACAACACTGCCATTTATAAGGTGCCTTCATCTTAGTGGTCACGACACGAAGGTCAGAGAGGGGCCAACCCACTGCCCTCGAGTCAGTTCTGACTCCGAGCAACCCCTTAGGACAGAGTAGAGCTGCCCCATAGGTTTTCCAAGGCTGTACATCTTTACGGAAGCCAACTGCCACAGCTGTCCCCTGCAGAGTGGCTGCTGGGTTTGAACCACCGACCTTAGCAGCTGGATGCTTTAACCACTATGCCGCCAGGGCTCCTTCCTGTGACCTTAGACACTGGTAAGTCACCTCTCTGAGTCTCCAATGTTCTCACAATAGAAATCCTGTCCTCACACAGTTTTTTGAGGGGAAATTGAAGGCGACAGCTATAATTAATAATACTGTTAACTCACAATATCCTATGTAGTGAGGTCCCTGGACCTGGCAGTAGACTGTGTGGACTATGTTATGCCAACTGACCTTGAGGCCTGTCCCGCCCCCAGACTATGATCCTAAGCCCCCAGACTCATCCTTCCCCTTTCTTTATCCTAATTATTACACTCCCTACTTAGGTATAGTTGAGACTTGAGAAAGCCCTATGCACCTTTCTGCTTTATTCATACATTTTCAAAACTTTCCATTCTGGTACCTAGTGCTGCCGACAGGAATATACCACCAATGGGATGGCTTTAACAAACAGGAGTTTATTCTCTTAAAATTTTGGAGGCTAGAAGTCTGAGTTCAAAGTGCCAGGCTTTAGGGGCTGGGTGAAAGCCCCTCAACCTTGGGCTTCAGCTCTGCCTCCTGCTCCCGGCCCACTGAAGCTGGAGGCTTTTCTTCACTCAGGCAGCTGCTGGCTGCTGAGACTGACAAGCCCCAAGGTTGACAAGTAAAAAGGCACAGTCCCGATGTTACCAAACCACAGGGTAGGCCATTGATGCAAGTCCATTGAAAGTCCCAAGATCAGCCAAGCATGGCAGGCTGCTGAACAATAAGCTGCTCCAATAGATTCCACCATGGAGTTAATTACCAATCTCACCATGGGGAATAACTACATCCAGCTGCCCAGCCACTCAACTAGGCCCAGCCAAGTTGACACACAAACTTAACCACCAAATTTTCCATCTTCCAATCATGTAATTTATTGCTCTGTGTGTGTGTGTGTGGTGCTCTGGTGGTGCAGTGCCTAAGACGTGACTGCTAACCAGAAGGTTGGCAGTTCAAACCCACCAGCCACTCCATGGAAGGAAGATGGGGCGACCTCCTTCTGTAAAGATTTACCGCCTCAGAAACCCAAGGAGGGGTCGCTGTGAGTCGGATTCGACTCGACGGCAGTTTATGTACATATTATACACAAAAGCTAGCTCCTTTGGCTGTGTGCTTCTCCCTTCTGCCTGACAAGCAGTAACCATCCCCCAGCAGAGCGTGTTCTTTGAACCAGTTACAGCCAGTGAGTTCTGCAGAAGGAGGCGGGGAAGACAGAGAAGGGGCACGGTCCCCCAAGGGGTGAGTTCCCCTTTCTCTCTGGCAGCCAGCTGGTTTATTCATAGCACATTGCAGATTCGTTCTTCACTCAATTTTGAAACCCTTTCCATCCCCTCATTTATTTAGCTCTCCCACACACCCTTGGGAAGGAGCCCTCATGGTGCAATGGTCAAGCACTTGGCTGCTAACCAAAAGGTTGATGGTACGAACCTTCCAGTGACTCTGCGGGAGAAACATGAGGCAGTCTGCTTCCGTAGAGACTGACAGCCTTGGAAAGCCCCTGGGGCAGTTCCACTCTGTCCTCTAGGGACGCTATGAGTCGGAATAGACTCCACGGCAGTGGGTGTGGTTTGGGCTTTGCTTCTATGAAGATTGACAGCCTTGGAGACCTTGTGGGCAGTTCCACTCTGTCCTCTAGGGGCCCTGTGAGTCAGAAGGGACTCCACGCAGTGGATTTGGTGGTAGGTTTATACGGGTCTGAGTCCAGCGTAGCCTGCCAAGTCTGAGAGAGCTTGAGGCCCCGCCTGTGGTCTCCTGCGTCTGCAGGGCCTTATCTTGGAACTTCCCTTCTCGTCACTTACCTGGTGGTTTTGCGTTGGCGATTCTGGAGCTTTTTGGACCTCTGCTTGTGTTTCCTCTTTTGTAAAAATAAGCGGTTTCATTTCTTTTCCACCAAGGCTCAATAAATTTTTCTCTGTAAAGGACCGGTAGTAAATACTTCAGGCTATGGAGGGCAGGGCCTCAACTCTGCCACTGTAGCGTGAACGCAGCTAAAGAAAAAAATAAAAATAAAACCCTCATAATAAATAAAACCTGCTGCCACTGAGTTAATTGTGACCCGTGGTGACCCCGCGTGTCACAGAGCAGACCCGCGCTCCACAGCGTTTAATAGGCCGTGGCCTCTACAGAAGCAGCTCACCAAGCATTGCGCGCGCCCTGCGCTGGAGAGTGCCAACCGCCAACTTTCTGGTTAGTGTTTGAGAGCAAACGGTTTGCACCCCCCAGGGACCCAAGGCAGCCACAGGCAATACACAAACAAAGCAGCGTGGCTGTGTTCCAATAAAACTTTATTTATGGGGCCGGGGTAGGAAAATCTCACATTAAGGTTCTGTGTCGTGGACGATTTCCCTACTGTTGGTTTCCTCCCTCCACCCTCTCAAATGTAAAAAAGAAAAGAAAACATCCTTAGCTCATGGACGGTACAGAAAGAGGCAGGGGGTGGGCCAGATAGGACCGTGGGCCTAGTTTGCGGGCTCCTGCTTCAATAGTCTTTAAAGGCCCTCCCACCTGGGGGTCCATGAGGCCGTCGGCTAGGACGCGCCTGGGTATTTCCGTGGAACGCTCTTCGGTGTTTTCCGAGAAAGGCCACTCCGGGCGGCCACACCAGGCTGTTCCAAATGCTGGACTCTGGGAAGCGATGACCCATCCTCGGAGGATTCACACCAAGAGGCCGTTGTTTCTCCCTTCCCTCTGGGGGCCTGGACCCCGGTCCCAAAGTCCAGCGGACCCTCAGTGGAACTTGATCTCTGCATACTCGGTGTGGGCGGCCTGGGGCTTGTGGGTCTCCCACGGCCGGAGCCCCAGGAAATTGACGTCAGCGTAGCAGACCTCGTCCGGGTTACTCCCTGGCCCTGGGCCGGGAGCGCACGGTTTGGATCTCGCGAGACCACGGTTCTTCGGTTCCGCGGGATGAGTCCCTGAGGCGGGAGGCTGGGAAGCGCGGCCGGGCGTGCCCTTCCGAGTCTGAGCCTAAGGGAAGACCAGCTGTCCGTCACTCACTCATTTCACCGACGGCTGAGCCCCTACTACGTGCCAGGCACTGTTTTAGGAGCTGAGGACGGAGCAAGGGGTAAGAACAAAGGCCCTGTCCCCACTGAGCTGGCTTTCAGTCTGTGACAAACAAGAGCAGTCAAGCCTAGTACTGAAGGGGCGCAGGGCCGTGCAGGGGCAGGTGGGTGGGTGACTGCGAGGGGCGGGCGGGGAGGAGGCAGCTGAGGGGACGCTACTTGAGCAGAGCCGTCGTGGCGACCCCGCGCGCGCACGCGCGCGCGTGTGTGTGTGTGTGTGTCTGTGGTACAACTGCACTCCACGGGGTTTCCAAGGCTGGGACCTCCCGCAAGCAGGTCGCCCCTGGGTAGGTTCGAAGCGCCAACCTTTCGGCCAGTAATAAAGCGTTTAGCCCTTTCTACCACCCGGGGCCTGCGTAAGCAGAAAGGATGGATGAAATGAGGGAGGGAATGGTGCCACGTCTGGGGAAGGATTGTCCCCTGGGAAGGGAACAACATGCAAAGCGCAGGGGGCAGGACGGCTGGAGGTGAGGTTGGAGGGTCCTCGGGAGCCAGACCACGGAAGGCCCTAGAGCCTCCGGGCACAGCTCGGCCTTTGTTCTAAGCATGACGGAGAGTGACTGGAGCTTTAGAGCAGGAGAGTGACAGGCCGCCTTTTTTTTTTTTTTTTCCTTTAACTTTATATTTTGAGAACATTATAGATTCACAGGAAGTTGCAAAAATAGCAGAGAGGTTCTGTGTGCCCTTGCCCAGTGGGAACATCTCATGTGATTGTGGTACATGATCAAAGCCAGGACAGTGACCGCGGGAGAGTGTGTGGTCAGGGTGTGTGTGTGCTCGGTGTGTGTTAGTGGTCGGTGTGGTCGGGAAACGTGTGTGGTTGGGTTGTGTGTGTGGTCGGGGTACATGTGTGGCCGGTGTGTGTGTGGTCGGTGTGGTCGGGGTGTGTGTGTATGCACTTCATCACATGGGGGATTCCTCAAACTCCATCACAAGCAGATACAGACTCTCCTACTTATGTTGTCAGTTGCCGCAGAGTGTGGGTTCTGACCCATGACGATGCCCTATGTGTCAGAGCAGACCTGCTCCATACCGTTTTCAAGGATGTGGCCTTTCAAAAGCAGGTCACTAGGCCTCTGAACCACCAACCTTGCTAGTGGTTGAGCACAGGTGTCAGAATTAGTTAAAAAAAAAAAAGTTGGAGAGAGGAGGCAGGTGTGACCTCTAACCTGATGGGGGTCAGCGTTGGACTGATCCTAGTCTTGTCCCCCTGAAGGAAGACTGGGTCTGCATTACTCCTCGGGCTTCTTACAAAAGCCTAGCCACATGCGCTGCCCAGGGGCTCCTGTCCCCCACAGTGCCCCTCACAGTGCTCCTCACAGTGCCCCCCGTGGTGCCCCCCACAGTGCCCCTCACAGTGCCCCTGACAGTGCCACTCCCGGTCCCTCCATACTCTGTCATGTCACGAATGTCATATAAATGGACTCATACAGTATGTGCCCTTTGGTATTGGCTTTTTTCACTTCTTTTTTGCCCTTGAGGTCCATCTGATTTGTTGCATGTATCAGTAACTTGTTCCATTTCTGCTGTGTGGAACTCCATGGTGTGGAGTACCTGCTTGTGTTTTACAATGATGTGATGAACAGGGAACAGAGTCGGGGGGCAAGAGTGGCAGCAGGCAGGCCGTATCGAAGGTAACCGTGTGCACAAGTGAAGATGTTGGTGCGTGGACAGGGGAGGCAGGAGGAAGGGGGAGAGGTGGTTTGCAGTCAGATATATTGGAAGGTAGAGCTAATGGGATTTGCGGATGGATTGGCTGTGGGGTGACAGAGAGGAGTGAAAGATGACCCTAAGCCTTTAGGCTTGAACTGCTGCACAGCTGTTGGTGGCATTTGCTAAGATGGGAGTATAGAGGGGGAAGTGTAAGAAGTGAAGTTAGTCCTAGGCTTGGCTTTGGACGGGATAAGTTTGAGTTAACATGACTATTATACAAACGTACGCACCAACCACTAATGCCAAAGCTGAAGAAACGGAACATATTACCAACTTCTGCAGCCTGAAATTGAGCAAGCATGCAGCCCAGATGCACTGAGAATTGCTGGTGATTGGAATGCAACAAACAGAAACAAAGGAGGATCGGCAGGTAGAAAACACAGCCTTGGTGACAGAAACAATGCTGGAGGTTGCTTGATAGAATTTTGCAAGACCCAGGAACCTATTCCCTGGATATGCATTTTTCAACAACCTAAACAGCGACTACACACATGGGCCTCCACAGATGGAATACACAGGAATCAAACCAACATCTGTGGAAAGAGATGATGGACAAGCTCGATATCATGAGCCAGGACAAGGAACAAGGCCAGGGAATGACTGAGCAACAGACCGCCAACTGCAAGTTCAAGTGGAAGCTGAGGAAAAGTAAAGCAAGTCCATGAGAGCTAAGGTACAACCTCGAGAATGCCCCATCTGAATTTAGAGACCGTCTCAAGAACAGATTTGATCCACTGAACACTAATGGACAAAGACCAGGTAAGTTGTGGGATGACATCAACATCCATACGTGAAGAAAGTCAAAAGGAAAGAAGTCTACCAATTAAGGACATATGAGCAAAATGCGTATGTTACATACAGGCACACCTCGTTTTATTACAGTTAATTTTTGGTGCTTCAAAAATACTGTGTTTTTTTTTTTTTAAACAAATTGAAGGTTTGTGGCAACCCTGTGTCAAGCACATCTGTGCCACCATTTTCCCAACAACATAAGCTCACTTCATCTCCTGTGGGATTCTCACAATATTTCAAACTTTTTCATAATGTTATTACACAATTGATAGACCACAATATAATGTAAAACATAAGTTTGATATGTACAACGACACCAAAAAATCGTGTAACTCCTTGTATCGCAATACTCATTTCATTGTGGTGGTCTGGAACTGAACCCCCAATATTGCCAAGGTATCCCTGTGCCATAAAATAGCCACCCAACTGAGTAAGAATCCCTCCAGTTACTGTTTAGTTTTATGTTTCTTAAAGGTGTTCTTTGGCCATCTTCTTTATAGTATAAAGTATTAACAATTCCATGAAAGGGAATTTGTTGCATTAACTTAATGATATCACTCTATTAAAAATAAGTCCTAGAGGGTGGTTATGTGTTCTCCTTTAGACTATCCAATAACAGCACCAAAAAAAAAAAAAAAAAAAAAAAAGGGGGGAAGAAGAAAAAAAAAAAAAAAAGAGAGAGAGAGAGAGAAAGCAAAAGGTCATTAAAAAGACAGGAAAGAAAGAACAGACTGTCATGGATGTCAGAAGAAACTCTGGAACTTGGTCTTGAATGGAGAGGAGCTAAAGGGAAATGAAGAAATGATGAGGTAAACGAGTTGAACAGAAGACCCCAAAGGGCAGCTCGAGCAGACACAGTGAAGTATTCTAATGAAATGTGCAAAGACCTGGAGTTCGAAAACCAAAAGGGAAGAACACGCTCAGCATTTCTCAAGCTGAAAGAACTGAAGAAAAAACATTCACGCCTCAAGTTGCAATACTGAAGGCAAAATATTGAACAATGCAGGAAGCATCAAAAGAAGATGGAAGGGATACACAGTCAGTGTGGCAGAGAACTGGTTGACGGCCAGTCATTCCAGCAGGTGGCATATGATCAAGAATCGATGGTATCAAGGCAGAAGTCAAAGCTGCACTGAAGGCATTGAAGGCTTCAGGAACTGATGGACTATCCATTGAGATGTTTCAACAAATGACTGCAACGTGGGGCACACTCACTCATCTATGCCAGGAAACAGGAAAGAGGGCTTCCGGGCCGACCGAATGGAAGGCATCCATCTTCGGGCCCGGTCCAAACAAGTATGATCCAAGAGAATGTGGGAATTATCGAGCAGTATCATTAACATCACACTCAAGTAAATTTTGCTGAAAATACTTCAAAAAGAACTGCAGTGATACACAGACAGGGAATGCTGGAAATTGGATCCAGATTCAGAAGAAGGTGTGGAATGAGGCCATCACTGCTGATGTCACTTTGCTGAAAGCAACACCAGAAAGATGTTTCCCTGTGTTTTATCGACTATGCAAAGGCATTCAACCATGTGAGTCATAACAAAATATGGATAACATTGCGAAGAATGGGAATTCCATAACACTTCATTGTGCTCATGTGGAACCTGTACATAGGCAATCAGTCATTCAAACAGAACAAGGGGACACTACGTGGTTTAAACTCAGGAAAGGTGTGCATGAGGGTTGCATCCTTTCCCCACACTTATTCAATCTGTATGCTGAGCAAACAATCCAAGAAGCTGGACTCTTATGAAGAAGAACATGGTATCAGAACTGGAGGAAGTCTCGTTAACAACCTGCAATACGCAGGTGACACAATCTTGCTCGCTGAAAGGGAAGATGACTTGAAGCACTGGCTGAGGAAGTTGAAAGACTACAGCCTTCAGTATGGACTACACCTTGGCAGAAAGGAAGCAAAAATTCCCCCAACTGGACCACTAAGCAACGTCATGATAAATGGAGAAAAGATGGGTGTTGCCAGGGATTTAATTTTACCTGGATCCACAGTCAACATGCATGGAAGCAGCAGCCAGGACAGCAACAGCCAGGAAGGGAATAAAAAGGAAGGATGAAGGGAAGGATGAAGGGAAGGAGTGGGGGTGGGGAGGAAGTGGAAGAATGGTGTTTGGGGGGCATTGCAGTGACTGTCATAAAAACAGAATGGATACGGACTGTTGACTGGAAAACCACTTAGCTCTGTAAACTTCCACCAAAATCAGTTTTTTCAAAAAGAAAGAAATCAAATGACATATTGCATTGGGCAAATCTGCTGCAAAAGACATCCTTCAAGTGTTAAAAAGCAAAGATGTCACTTTGAGGACTAAGGTGCCCCTGACCCAAGCCATGCTATTTTCAGTCTTCTCATACACATGCGAAAGCTGGACAGTTAACTGGGAAGACTGAAGAATTGATGCGTTTGAAATATGGTCTGTGTGAAAAATATTGAATAACCCATGGACTGCCGGAAGAACAAACAAATCTGTCTAGGAAGAAGTAGGGCCAGAAGGCTCCTTAGAAGTCACATACTTTGGGCATGTTATCAGGAAGGACCAGTCCCTGGAGGAGAACATGCCTGATGAAGTAGAGGGTCAGCAAACAGGAGGGAGACCCTCAACGAGATGGGGCGACACGGTGGCTGCAATGACGGGCTGAGACACAGCAGTGATTGTGGGGCTGCTGCATCGCGGGCGGCGTTTCCACCTGCTGTGCGCTGGGTCGCTGTGAGCTAGAACCAGCTCAGTGGCACCGAGCAACAAGTCTTGCCTATCTGACACCCCGACAAGCCCTGATGGCACAGTATGCAGCTGCCAACAGACACGTCAGTGCTTCGAACCCACCAGCAGCTTCTCAGGAGAAGACTGGCGATCTGCTTCCCTAAAGATTATGGCGTTGAAAACTCTCTGGGGGAAGTTGTACTGTTTCGTGGGCCGCTGAGTCCTAACCAACTCAAGGGCAATGAGTTTATTAGACACCCACACAGACGGCTGGGTGTGAGTCTGAGAGGCCGGCAGTTGGCCTTGTGGAGCTATCAACATAGGCATGTTGTCTCCTCATTCGTAGCCAAACACTTCCTAGGTGCCAGGCACTGTCCTAAATGCTTTACAGGGACAACAGAGCAAACATCATGCTGAGAACAACCCCAAGGGGTAGGCACTGCTCTGAGCCCCCATTTACAGTTAAAGATATTGAAGGATTAGGAAAAAAAAAAAAAAGAAAGGAAAAGGAATTGAGGGCCAGAGAAGTTAGGTGACTCTTCACGAACACACAGCAATGAAAGCAGGATTTGAACTCAGGCAGGCCGACTTCAGAGCTCTTAATCGACTCATAGAGACCCCTCCTTGGGTTTCTGAGGCAGTATCACTACGGAAGTAGATTGCCCAACCTTCCTTCCGAGGAGTGGAAGGAGTGGCTGGTGGGTTTGAACCACCAGCCTTCTGGTTAGCAGTCAAATGCCTTAGGCACTACCCGCAACCAGAGCTCCTACCTTCACAGAAGCAAAGCCCAAACCAAACCCAGTGCCTGGAGGGGATTCTGACCCACAGCGCCCCTAGAGGACAGAGTGGAACTGCACCACAGGGTCTCCGAGGCTGTCAGTCTCTATGGGAGCAAAGCCCAAACCACACCCACTGGAAGCAAAGCCCAAACCAAAGTCACTGCCGTTGACTTGACTTGACTCATAGCGACCCCCTCCTTGGGTTTCCGAGGCAGTATCTCTATGGAAGTAGATTACCCAACCTTCCTTCTGAGGAGTGGCTGGTGGGTTTGAACCGCCAGCCTTCTGGTTAGCAGTCAAATGCCTTAGGCACTACACTACCAGAGTTCCCAGTATACCACCAGAACTCCCTCTTAATATACTAAAAACCAGCCAAACCAAACCCACTGCCATTGAGTCCATTCCAACTCACAGTGACCCTGTGGGACAGAGTGGAACTCCCCCATAGGGTTTCTAGAGCTGTAATCCTTTTATTTTTTCCCCTAATCTTATTTAAATTTTTTTTGAAAATCCTTTCACCCATATTGAAACTGTCTCTCAATTCTCCATCTGTTTTCTCTCCCGACCCCTCCCATCCCTGGTAACCAACAAAGAAAATTTCCCTCCCTGTGTGACTTCTTACAATAATGGCCTCATACAGTACTGGTCGTTTTGTGACTGACTTATTTCACTCAGCATAACGTTCTCCAAGTTCATCCACACGATGAAGTGATTGGTGGATTTGTCATTATTCTTTAGTGTTGCGTAGTATTCCTGTGTGTGCATGTACCACAGTTTGGTTATCTGTGCATCTGTTCATGGGCACTTGGTTGTTTTCATCTCTCTGCTACTGTAGACAGCACTGCGATGAACGTGGGGGTGTGCATACATCTGTCCAAGGCTGTCATCTCTACAGAAGCAAACTGCCACATCCCTTTCCTGCCAGCGGCTGGTGGCTTCATGCCGCCAATGGCTTATCCACTTTACCACCTGGGCGCCTTTGGCGACATACTGGCTCACAGTACCATTAACAATTAAGCTCATTATTATTAATAATTAATTCATCGTTATTGGTAATATCATCGGTGAGGGTGAATAATGGAATACCAAAATCCAAACCTGTTCCTGGTGAGTTGCTTCCAAGTCTTAGCAACCCTAGAGGACAGAGGGCTTCCTCGGACGTGGTGAAGTGCTCAACTGCTAACCGAGAGGCAGTTGGCTTCCTAAAGATGACAGAGTTGGAGACCCTGTGGGGCGGGTCTGCTGTGTCCTCTGGGGGCTCTGTGAGTCAGAATTGACTTGACAACTGTGGGTGTGGTTTGGGCTTTGCTCTGTGAAGATTGACAGCCTTGGAGACCCTGTGGGCAGTTCCACTCTGTCCTCTAGGGGCGCTGTGAGTCAGAATAGACTCCAGGCAGTGGGTGTGGTTTGGGCTTTGCTTCTGTGAAGACTGACAGCCTTGGAGACCCTGTGGTGCAGTTCCACCCCGTCCTCTAGGGGCGCTATGAGCTGCAGCAGACTCAGTGGCAATGTGTAATCTTTATGGAGGCCGACTGCTAACCTCTTTCTCCCGTTGGAGCTGTCTACCGAGCGCTTAACTAGACCAGGACCAGGCCTCCCTGAACAAGGGAATGGCGGCTACGTATTGAAAAATGTGCGAGCACCCTGCTCCTCTAACCAAGCGTCCCAGGAGACGTAGGGACAAGGGGAGGTCTCGCAACGGCAGGGTCGGAACCACGCAATGAAGTCTCCAAGCCAGAGCGTGGGGCCCGACGGGGAGGCGCGTTTGCCAGTCAGAGAAGGGGGAGGAGCGGCGAGGAGCCCAGCCACTCACCTGGGGAGCCGCGTTGGGGTCCACGTTGACGTAATCGCAGACTGAGCTGCCCCTGGAGGCGCGGGGCCGCACCGCCGCCGCCCCGGCCCACTTCTTCCTCAGGGTCTTGATGCTGAAGGGACGAAGCCACCTCGCTGTGAACGCTCCCCTTCCCCCGTCCCGGCCCCCACACCCATCGCCGCTGCCCCTAACTCACAGGATGAGTGTGACGCACAGGAAAAGGAGGGTGGCTATGCCAAGTCCGAGAAATGACCCCTTGGAGAAGGCTGTTGAAACTGCGCCCGCATCTGCACAATGACAGGGTCGGATGAGCTGTTGGGAGCCTCCAGGGCCCTCTGCCCTTTGACCTCTAGGCTTCCGGCTCCCGTGCCTGCACCCCGCCCCCCATCCAACGCTGCTGCCCTCTGCTCAGAAACCTTGCTGCACCCTGGTGGCAGGCCTCCTCCCGCCACACCACCCGGATCCAGCCCCATGCCACACCCTCCCCCACGCAGCCCGGCCGCCCCGCAGACCCCGACCTGGCACCAGCAGGACGGTGGCACTATGCGCCCCGTGGCCATTCTGGGCCTCGCAGAGGAGTGCGCGCCCGGGGCTGAGCCCCGCGCGGAGGCGCAGGGAGCTGTTGGCCCAGGGCCCGGCCGAGCTGGAGGTGACCGTGACCGAGGCGTTGCTGCTGTTCGTCTCCAGCAGCTCGTCCCCGACCCGCCAGCGCACGGAGGGGGCGGGCCAGGCTCGGGCGGAGCAGCCGCAGCGCAGACCCACGCCCTCCCAGGAGCAGGCGGGGCCGCGCAGCTGCGGTGGGTCTGTGGGGGAGGGGAGGGGCGGGCTCAGCGGAGGCCCCGCCCCCAGGGCCCAAGGCCCGCCCCCTGGCCCTCCACTCACAGAACACAACGAGGCGCACGGAGATGCTCGCGGAGCCCAGCGAGTTCTGAGCTCGGCAGGTGAACTCCCCTTCGTCGTCCTTCTGAACCCGAGGCAACTCCAGGACCCCGGGACCCGAGGGCTGCGAGGGGCTCAGGGCGGGCCTGCCCCGGGCCCAGCTCAGCGCCGCCAGGGGGTTGCTGTCGGCGACACAGACGAGGCGCAGGGACTCCCCTTCCAGGACTGAGACGGACATGCCGCTCTCGAAGTTTTCCAGGACTGCTGGGGGGTGGGGAGAAGCAAGATGGACCTGGAGGCCCGGGGACTCTACTTCACGCCCACGTTCCTGACACCAGGCCCACAGTGTGGTCCTCTCTCTCCGTACCTGTCCTGTTTGCTTGGGACACGGTCACTCGCAGGTTCTCTGGAGGGTCTGAAACAGAGGCAGAGGCCTGGCTCAAGGTGGCAGGGGCTCCCCTGGGGGCAGAGGGGGCCCTCCCGGGGCTGCCGAGCCGCAGAGAGGACCCCTGCGGCCGCTGCCCCTCCAGCTCTGGGACCCGCACTCACACTGCACAGAGAGGTCCAGCCAGGCCTGCAGGGAGCCCAGCCTGTTCTCTGCGCGGCAGGTGTAGCGCCCTCCGTCCCCGGGCCCCACCCGAGGCAGCTCCAGTTCCAGGGTTCTGGACCCCGAGGGCGGGGACCTGGCGAGCACCCTGTCGTTCAGGACCCAGCCCAGCGTGGCCGGGGGCTGGCCGTCGGCCTCACAGGACAGCCGCAGGAACTGGCCTCTCCAGACTTGCAGACATGAGTTGTTTCCCTGGGGCGCTGGAGAGAGAGTGGGGGGGCTGCAGGTTAGGGTCACTTTCCTGGCTCATCTCCGAAACCTTTTTGTTCCCTCAAATGGACTGGCTCTGCCCCACTCAAATCGCGTCCCCCCGCACACACCAGGATCTGATGTCTTGGCCCAGGAAACGTTGATGACCAGGTCCTTAGGGGCGTCTGCAACAAGAGATAGTGAGCCCCGTCAGAGGGAGCACCGCGGGAGACAGTGTCCCCGGGAGGACCAGGGACAGCACACCACAGATCCATCCCAGGCACGTCCCAGGGCCAAGCCAGCTTCCTGGGCGGTCTCTGCCCCTGGGCTGGGAGAGCTGGGGCTGCTGGTTGCCACGGCGACTTCGCACCCCCTTGGCCTGTCCCCACACTGCAGAGTCCTGCCCCCAGACTCACGGGCCACATTCAGTCGGACGGTCCTCTCTGCGCTGACGCGGGTTCCGGAGAAGTCCACGCGACAGGTGAGCTCGGTGCCGTGGTCCTGGGCCCTCGGCGTGAAGGTGAGCTCAGACAAGACGTGGGAGGTTCGCGGCCCGGCTGCTCGGCCGTCGGCGGCCGCCCCCCTCCAGGAGAACGTGGGGGCCGGACAGCCCTCGAAGGCCCAGTGGAACACACAGAGCAGCGTGGCCGGGCGGCCGGGCTCCAGGGCCTCGGGCATGTAGACATCAGGGACCTGCCTCCGGTCTGGGGGGGCGAGGGGCGTTGGAGCCGCCGAGTCGTGGCCTGGCCCCACAGTCCCTCCCCAGCCCGGCCGCGCGCCGTACCTGTCACTTCCAGGGAGAGCTTGGAATCGATGTAATTAAATCTCACGTAGGAGCCTCGCTCCACCCGAAAGAAGTAGGTGCCCGCGTCCGCCCTCCGAACGTCTCTGATCACCAGGGAGCAGCCCCCGGTCCGGGGGTCGCCGAGGAGCTGGAATCGGCCCCGGGTCTCCTTGGCGACCTCTCGGTGTGGGTCGTTGGTGGCCACTGGAGGCCTGGGGGCGGCGTCCCTGGCTGCGCCTTCCCGGAACCAGTAGCCCAGCGCGGGGTCCGCGTCGGCCCAGCCATCCGGGGGGTAGGAGACGGAGCAGGGCACGTGGGCGCAGAGCCCCTCCGGCACCGCCACCGAGCTCTGCACCTCCAGCTGGAAGCGCTGGTCCCTAGGCTGGGGCCCTGCGGG